CAGAAAGACAGCTGTTTCGTCCCAGTTTGAGACTCTTCAAAGTAAACAACCACCGAGCTTCAAGCTCAGGCAAGCTCACAGACCATTCAGCCAATGGAGACTTACTCCATGGCCATTACATGAAGTCTAACCTCTACCAGCTTATAATTTCAGCACGACCAGGAGTCAGTGTGACTGGCGATTATTTGTTCTCAGACCTAATGGTAGCTAGCAGTCGAACGTAGGATTCACGTTTCATCAAATTCGCAACTCGATAGCTGCAAATACTCACGCCTGAATAAAATCACGTAAGTCTTCAGTATCTTAGGAGTATCCATAGTAAGAGGCGGTTTGTTAACAGAGATGGAGAACTTCCAACCGACATGATTAATCAATGGAAAGCATATGATAAATCACATCATAACTGAAGTCTGTTGCTTGACAGGTGATTCAGGGGATAAAACGTTTGCTGCTTGAATCGATGAATGAAAAGTTTGAGTCTTATCTGGAGCACCATAGCTCACTGGGAATGCAGGTACATTCAAGTGGGGAGTTCCAACAAGTTCCAAACTAGTGTCATGCGTCTAATCACTGGTGCTGATGCAGACTGAATCCTGTCAGTTAAGTTTTATAATGACTGAACATCACATTAGAATCTAAGTTGTTGGAGCCAGTTGATGTTAAAGAGCCTTGAACTTCGTTTTCACACCTGTCGGTACTCGTAAGTAAGTCATGTCTGCATTATGGTCACATTGTAGACTTCACAGATAGAATTTAGAATGCACTAATACCAAGAATTGGATACATTTATTTCCCGATAAGAATTTAAAACTAGCAATAGAGATTAATAAAACAGAATTTTCAAGTATTGGTTTTTGTAGGGATTTTGTTTGATTGCATGGAGGATTTAATCATGAGCTGACATCAGTTAGAGAACCACTGGAAAACCTGGGAGTACTGGACAGCCGTTTCGTCCTAGTTTGGGACTCCTCATCAGTACGCACCCACCGGGATTCGAACCCAGGACCTTCTGGTTACAGGGCGAGCTCGTAGACCATTGAGCCACTGGGACCCGATCCAATGGTCCTTGAATTCTAACTTCTGCCAGTTCACGACATAGCGCGACCACTTCGCAATGTCTTCTTCGATGAGTTACTGCCTCATCTTCGACCTGCTGTACCCCACTGGTCACGGCTTCTCACTAGAACCCCAGGTTAACTGCCTGAATAGGGCCAGTCACTAGTGAGCATCAGATGAATTTTCAAGTATTGGTTTTTGTAGGGATTTTGTTTGATTGCATGGAGGATTTAATCATGAGCTGACATCAGTTAGAGAACCACTGGAAAACCTGGGAGTACTGGACAACCGTTTCGTCCTAGTTTGGGACTCCTCATCAGTACGCACCCACCGGGATTCGAAGGAGTCCCAAACTAGGACGAAACGGCTGTCCAGTACTCCCAGGTTTTCCAGTGGTTTTCTAACTGATGTCAGCTCATGATTAAATCCTCCATGCAATCAAACAGAATTTAATGAATTCATCAAATTTCGGTAGAACTCGTTAGCTGAATACTCTACACACACGGATATGTATATACTTTTGAAATTACATCAGGAGATATGAGACTGATAAGCAAATAAACTACAATGAATGTTTTCCAAGTCATGTTCAAACAGATAAGGGGAGAGGGAGTATGAGAGATCAAAATTAAGATAAAACGCATTACGCTTCAATTATATCAATTACATAAACAATAAAGACATTAGAGAATATAACAAGAATTGCAAACAGAGTAATACCAATAGTAATTGTTAGAATAATATAATAGTGTTGAAGTGAGTTAAGATAATCCTACCGATAAAGGATAGTTTTATGTGAATCAAGAATAACAATAAGAGATGGAATAATAAGTAAAACGTATTACCATGGTAGATTCAGAGTCACTACCATCTCATTTAGTACACAGAGACCTAGTTTATAAACTCGAACTGCACAAGCCTCCTGCACAATTGTAAGCATCCTCTTGTTTCTTTGTCTGTTGACAGTAGTAAATGACTTGACAGCGTAGATTTCATTTTCATAGTCCACAAGATGTTTTGCTGTTATTGAGGTTTTTGTCACTTTGCACTTAGCTGTTTTCAATCAACCATTTTAGCAAATGCTCCGTCATGCGAGTAGACAATCGCCTCTCTGTAGGTACGAACTATGTATTTGCTTCCAGAAATACACTCATCAAATTGATATTCTCAGTTTGAAGTGTCCAGGCTTGGTGACTGGTCTTTCCCAGATTGTTGAAGCAGTCGCTTGGTGGTGTTGTTAAGGCACACAAGTTTTGCAGCTTTATCGAGTCTTCGTTTAACTACTTCCTGTTAATCATCTCCTTTGAATACTAATACCAAGGACTATCTTGTGTCGCATCAAAGTATCCATTTCAGTCCTAAAGCAGGTCAACCGAGAACCCGAACAACTCAGTGGTGAAGTTTCCACCTGCAGTACTAAACGAGCTGAATTAGAATCTCTAAAAAGATGGCATCAATTTCTTCAAGATTTTAGATAAGTCCTGATGACTGGTGAATGCCAACAAGCTTTAAACCAAAGTCCAACACTTCTGGTTTGTTGCTACCAACCAAATGACTGAACAAAGTGTGGATCGCAGATTCCACTGCTAGCAGCATCAGTCAAATCTAGCTGGGATATAATCAAACTAGGCGACAATTACAAAAACTACTTACACCATCTTAAAACATTATTTGCATTTAATAATTACCAAAATTGGTCTGTAGAACAAAAAAATTCTGCATAGCTTGAAGACGATGTCATCGTTTCAATTTTAACCATGGATTAATATCAGTTAAAGGATCACTGGAAACCATGCAGCATTGAACAGCTGTTCCGTACCGGTCAGGGTTCAACCCGCAGTAGGTTCCCTCGCGCGTCTCAAACCAGAACGAAACACCTGTATAGTACTTTTGGTCTGTCAGTGGTTCTTTAACTGATATAATTCGTAGATCGAACTCAAAGTCAACTGAATCTCTGCAGATTAACTTATAAAAACCAACCTGATTCTCGTTATTGCCTGACTGTAGGATTAAGCTTCTTAGAGTTCCATTGAGAAGTCATGACCACTGGAGTCCACCGACTTTAGTATGAGGACCTCGATTGCATTCACTAGTGATCGCTCTAAAATCGCGGATTCTTAGAAGTTAGGAATGATCTGCCAGTCGTTGGATACTGCTCCGGTAGCTAAATAGTCAACCAGCCTCACCCCATAATCTAAAGATACTGGTCTCGATTCATGGTGGTGAATTCATTAGTTTGTTCTGATGAAGGGTCTTAAAACGAGGACAAACCCGGTTTTGCAGTACTCCCTGGTGATTTTAAACGGTTCTCTAACTGATATCAATCTGTGATTCGAACATTCGAACAAATTTTGTCCCTGATGGGGTATTTCTTGAAAATTCCTCTGTTGATTTTCAGTGTCAGTAAATTTAAAGCGATTAGTTCCCTTTATGAATTATGACAACACAATAAGAAGACGTAGTTTATCTGAAATGTGTTATATATTGGCGCAACAGATTTCGGACATTCTGATCACACACACACACGAGTACTTGTCATACACAATTTTTATAGAAGGCAAGAAGGCATGAATAATTACAATACAGGTCCACTATAGTATAAAAAGGCGTTGGTCGAATGTTTGTTCAAGCACATTCACCGTATATGTACTGCTCATACAAGTGAAGTAAGACAACACCTCACTGAAATATTGTTAGATAACAATTACCCACTGAGATTTATTAGGCGTTAAGGAAGTGTCAGCCATAGACCTCTGCCAATCCAATCAGCTCCTAAAAAGGATGTTTACATATCCATGTCATTCAAAGATGATCAACAAAGTCTGGTCACTAGACAACGAAGACTCAAGGCTGCAATTAATAGAACCTATTATGCAGCTGAACTTATCTTCATAGAGAAAACGAGAACCATGCAGTCCTGTAAACCCTCACATTATCCGAACAATAGTGTCACATCCCACTGTGTTTATCCATTTGCATGTATGTGTGGACACACGTACATAGCGAGGACCCATTGGTCTCTGCAGGTTAGGGCTACAGAACACATTCCAAAGTGGCTACAGCAACAAATGAAATCGCCAGACACAACGGACCCCGGAAATAGATTTCCAACATCATCTATAGCAAAGCATATTATAGAGACGGGTCATAAGGTTGATTTCAACAATGCATTTAAGCCGATATATAAAACAAGGTTGGGCCACATACTTAAATTCATTGAAGCCTTCACCATAGAAAGACTTAAAACTATCTTGTGTGTCCAAAAGTTATTTGTTATCACCTTAAACCTGCCTTGGTAATCTAATTTAGAACCAAGGACCAATTTACTTCATAATATTTTCAACCCCTTCTATGCCTTGTTTTTTTCTCATTTCATCTTTCTTAACCACACCTTTGCGTCAACTCCCTACCCATTATTTGTGACCTTGACCTGTACACAATCTGATCTGTATTGTAATTATTCATGCCTTCTTGTCTTCTATAAAAACTGTGTATGACAAGTACTCATGTGTGTGTGTGTGTGATCAGAATGTCCGAAATCTATTGCACCAATACATTACACGTTTCAGATAAACCACGTCTTCTTATTGTGTTGTCGAAAGTGTCAGTAAAGTTTGGCTATCAAACTTTGAAGAGTTTTACGAAACATATGTATTCTTCTTTATTTCTTGCATTCCAATCGTCAGTAGCTGTGGTGCTGTTTTTACTTGGTAAGGCTGCTCGTTAACTTGTTGCTGTCGTCGAATCTCCCCTCTCTTTTTCAACTTTATTATTGACTATCAATCTGGGTATGGTTCAAGTGAGTGTCAACTGCCGTTTGAACCCGAACAGCCTCCATGGCTTTCAAGCATTGCATCACTAATCCACTGACGTTCATATGCACATGTTTATATTTTTGCATATTTCACATAATTTAGTTTCTCTGTATTCCACTTCATTTTTAGGCAATTTCGATTTACACATTAAAAATGCTCAACTTGAAGATGAAGCCAGTTTTATTTGTCAAGCAAATATCAAAATTTATTCAAATTCAGGTTCCCCGCCATATTTGGATACAATAACTAGTAAACCAGCATATTTGACTGTTATATGTAAGTCTGTCTGCCTACATGTGATTTTTATTTTGTAAAATTTTGAAAAAGCTATTTTACGAGTTGATCACGGATTGATATCAGTTAGAGAACCATTGAAAACCAGGGAGTACTGGACAGCTGCTGTTTCATCCTAGTTTGGGAATCATCGGCAGTACGCACCCACTGGGATTCGAACCCGGGACCTTCCGGTTACAAGGCAAGCTCGTATACCATTCAGCCACTGGGACCCAATTCAATGGCTCGTGAACTCTAACTTCTACTAATTCGTGATTTAGCGCGACCCCAACCATTGTCGTTGGTGGGACATCCATCCACACACGTGACATCTAATTGGACCTCACTGGTCACGACTTCTCCCTAGAACTCAGCAAACTCTAACCTGTAGCAAGTCACTAGCGAGCATCAGATTAACTTTCTAACCAACGACAATGGTTGGGGTCGCGCTAAATCACGAATTGGTAGAAGTTAGAATTCACGAGCCATTGAATCGGGTTCCAGTGGCTGAATGGTATACGAGCTTGCCTTGTAACCGGAAGGTCCTGGGTTCGAAACCCAGTGGGTGCGTACTGCCGATGATTCCCAAACTAGGATGAAACAGCAGCTGTCCAGTACTCCCTGGTTTTCAATGGTTCTCTAACTGATATCAATCCGTGATCAACTCGTAAAACATAACTAATCCTTACAAACCAAACTATAGAAAGTTAATCTGATGCTCGCTAGTGACTTGCTACAGGTTAGAGTTTCCTGAGTTCTAGTGAGAAGTCGTGACCAGTGAGGTCCAATTAGATGTCACGTGTGTGGATGGATGTCCCACCAACGACAATGGTTGGGGTCGCGCTAAATCACGAATTGGTAGAAGTTAGAATTCACGAGCCATTGAATCGGGTTCCAGTGGCTGAATGGTATACGAGCTTGCCTTGTAACCGGAAGGTCCTGGGTTCGAAACCCAGTGGGTGCGTACTGCCGATGATTCCCAAACTAGGATGAAACAGCAGCTGTCCAGTACTCCCTGGTTTTCAATGGTTCTCTAACTGATATCAATCCGTGATCAACTCGTAAAACATAACTAATCCTTACAAACCAATCTATAAAAAGCTATTTATTTTATTCAACAAATATTCTGGTGCATGTTAGGTTACATTTCTTGCGTTCCAAATGGAACATTGAACTTTGATAGCCACAGCTTCAGTGTGCTTGTAGGTGATGTCCGTGTGACAAGAGTAGACTACGGACGTTCCTTGTTTGTGGGCAATCTGGAGTTTCCATTTGTGTATTAGTCTGTTCTCACAGATTTCTTTAAAACTCCTTGCAGAATTCTCTCATTTCTTCTGAAATCTGAGGAGCTGTGTCAGGCCTAGGCATGGTGTAGACTTTAAACTTCCTCAAAATTAATTGGGTTTTTGTCGAAAGAAAACAGACACATTGGAGAAAAAGCTTCATGAAGTCTTTCACTGGCCAGCAGCATCCTTTCTGACACTGAGGAGTCTTTCTGACTCTAGCCTAGGTGAGGTTATTTTTCTAGGGTTAACAGTCGTCTGGTAAGCTTGACGAGGTCAACGAATATCTTTCCGTGAGGTTTCATCATTTCTCCGGCTTATTACGGTGTCTGATAAAATGTAAAGACTAGTACAATCTCTTGGTGTCACTGTGGTCCTGGAAAACATCTCCATTGTTGAATTCAGCCTTCATAACTGCCCCGTATATGACATATCCATTTTTTATGGGTAAATTTAGTTGTGTTCACATATTTTGGTGCTGACCATTTCTTCGATGTGGGATGGATGCGTCGGCTATATGATTTACTGGTTTATAGATTTGATCAATGTCTGTTGAGTACAGATTGGTGTGAGTGCAAAGCTTCTATGCATTTTCTGGAAACTCTCACCATATCGATTAGAGAAACATTGAAAACCAGGGAGTACTGGACAACAGTTTCGTTACGGTCTGAAACGCATCGTCATGGCTCACCTTCTGGGTTTCTGACCAAAAACTTTTCGGTTACAGTCAACATCTCTGACCATTTAGCCACTGGGATCGGACTGAGTGGTGGGTTCATGTCTTAGATGAGTGCCAGCTTTAGACAACACATCCATACGGTACTTCATGCTGATTTCCAGTGGTTGTCTAACTGATATCAATCCGAGATTAAAATTTTAGGGCCATTCTCTGTGTGTAATATATCCACAGTTCTTAACCGAACTGCCATCCTTAGCTGTCCAAAACATATTTTATGCATACTGACGGCTAATTATGTTCTTACGCGATAAATATGTTGTCCAGAAGGATAACGAAACTTTCGTAGTTAAACTATTTACGTCAGAGAATGCAATAACATCAACAACGCCCGTCTGATTTACTACTATGTAGTACTTATGTCTTTGCGGTGTCATCTGGCTTTGTATGGTGTAGTTGTTAAGGTAAGAATAAGTAAAAAACCCAGTTATTAGATTCTCGTCACGAGCTAACATCATTTAGAAAGATTACTGAGAACCAAGTACCACTGGACAGATATTTCGTCCTGTTTTGGGGGGCTCTCAACTCTCAACCCCACCAGCAAGGGTCGAACTGAGGCTCCTAATATTTACGACACCGTGCTAATTGACCGTTCATTGATTTGGCCTGAAATTTAATGGCCTCTGAATTCTATCTTTGCCAACGCGCGATATAACGATGACCTCATTAATGCTACCATGGGCATCCATTCCAGTGATTCTAACATCCCATTGCATCTTTAGAATATCCATTCGGTAGCGATCAGTAAGTTGGAGACTAATATTCGAAGCAATTAGAACTGCCACCGATATTTACTAAAATAATTAGCCTTTAAGTTCAGTTCGATTTCCCAAGTCACATGATTCTCAATAAGGCCTTTAGAGACTAATCCTCAATCGTCTTAAATGGTTAGTATAGACGGTTAGGTGACAAATGTTCTGAAATCAGGTAAAACTTTCCGACTAAATGTATGCTACTCACAAGAAGTCGTATACAGTGTATTGTTGGCGTCTTCTGCAAATCTTCAGTTTATTATTCCCATAAGTTCATTTTTAGTGGCTTTGTCATGGTTGTCTTTATACTCGATTGCTGTCAAAGTTACCCTCGCTAACTTACTAACGCCCATAAATTGTGCTGCAATAAAATCATTTTTAGTTGATGGCATCAATTACGACAAACTGCGGCGGTAATTACCGCTTATGTGACTCTTTTTCGTTAAGAGTAGGCAGTGCGCAGCAAGGTAGGCGTATCAGCCGCAAGGTCAATAACACCAGTTGGTCTCGATCTGATGCTGGCTTCTTTTAACGGAAATACTGCTCGGCTTACCAGTATGTTACAATTCTACTGACAGTCGTTCTACATCATATTTCAGGCATACTTTAAGCGAAATCAAGCTCGCAAAAGGTATTTAAATATTCTGAGGCTATTTCTTATCACCTTTTATTGGAGCTATTATTGGTTTACGTTCTAGGTAGAGAATTAGATGAGTGAGGCAACGTTTTAAGTAGGCTTTATCACACACCCCTCCCTGTCCATAGTAATCCAATGACAGACCATATTTCAACTATAGGATAGTTTGTTATCTGACCCTATGAGGGTTTTCTGAGTGTATAATTTGTATACGAATCGCCTTTTCCTAAATTTTAGATCCTCCTTCAGAATTAACCTTGATGCGTGTATCCCATAGCTCTTCAGATAAACGAGGTCAAATATTACACGGTGCAAATTCTGTAAATATGATGTCAAATACTCATTTACCAAATTATGCTGGTGATAGTCATCATGAATATTCAACTGAAGATCCTTTAGATCCCTTAATTGATCAAGATCTTAGTCGTATTGTAGCTGATGATCCTGAAATTGAATCATCTTATGTATATAATAAAAACTTTGTCCATCCCGGTAATCAACCTTCTGATCTACAGTCAACGCCACAGATCAACTCCCTGAAGACAATAGCTACAAGTCAAGTTTCCTCTATCCAGTCAGAAGATACAACACCTCAACTTACTCCCAAACTGTGGATTCCTGAAAATAAACAGCTAATTGTTGCTTGTCGAACATCTCCATCAAAGCCAGTGACTACAATCCAATGGCATTTAGCCGGTACGCTATTGTTTAAAAATCCTGGCTTAAGTGAGTATTTTATCGGAGTAGGAAGGCCACAGTTGAATGACACTGAATCACAGTATTTCTCTAATAATCAAAATCATCCGATTCAGTATTCAATTGAAGAGAAAATTTTGAATGTATCCGACAAATTGCTGACGATGCAAAAAGATGACAAGTTGACGCATGGCTCTGAAGTGGTTGAAAATGATTCACACGAAAAAAATTTAACCGATGAAATACTAATGTAAGTTGATAGTAAAATATATGTGTTGATTGTGTGATGCCTGATTCCTTGAAATTCGATTATTCGTGGGTAAAATGACAAGAAGTATATGAATACTTATCATTGAAAACACAGAGGTGAACTTAATCTCCCCTAGGACACTCAACATCATTACTTCATCAAAGGAAGCCACTGTATTATTATTGTTCTCTTGGGTTCCTAGGGCTTCAACTGCACGTCTACACTTGTTTCTGTCTTCTGCTGTACTTTTCACCTGCACTTATGTTAGTCCATACTGTTTCAACTCCTCTTCACACGATCTCCTCCATGTCACCCTCGAACTGACACCTCACTCACCGCTTCCGTTTCAAGTTCCACTCAGGCAATGGACTGATGCGCGCGCGGTGTCACCCAGAGACCGCCTCAACGAGTAGTGTTCAGTCCATCTCCATCCACTTTCTCCTCCTTATTTGTTGTTTAGCGATTGGTTGGTTCTTGTTTTGTTTGTTCCTTCCCATAGTTTTTTGTTGGTGATTCTTTCCGACCCGGCCATCTGACATTCAGTATAGAGCGAAGAAAGTTGTTGGCTGATAAAGGTCTGCCACTGGCTGTTGGAAATATTATTTGTGATCCCACGCCACGTTTGTGATCCGTATAGAAGAACTGACTGACTTGACGTTTGTATTGATGATCCGATCCAAATTTTGTTGTCGATGCTGAGAGACGAAGATTTCCAGACTATATTGGTTTCACGTTGATGAATTTGTTTCTCGATTTGACATCCTCGTCCGTTCCTCCTGTAGTTGAGAAAATCCTCCCTAGATAAGTGAATGAAGTAATCTCTTTCAAATCCCTACCCTTGATGGTGATTGGCCACTTTAAAAGGATTTATATTTCATGGAGGACGTATTGACTTTTCAGACAACAGTAAATAAATGCTCCAAAAGAACACGGATGTTGTCAGAGTCCAGTCCACTTTTCATGCAGGCGGTTCCATTGACAAATTCGTATAAAGCAATAAGGAAAGTTTTGGCAGGACAAAGATATTTAATAGGGTTTTCATCATCTGTTTTTCTATTGTTTCACGTTCCCAGTGGAACATACGGCAACTTCAAGCTAGAGGCTTAAAGTTTCTGTATCAGCGGTGGTTATTTTTACAGGATGGGACCGCTAATCTCATGCCTAACCAGTCCACTTTACCAGCTTTATATCTGGCTCAGTGAGGTAAAAGGTAGTATGTTGGTGGCCGGGGATTGAACCCCGGACCATGTGCATGGTCGGCGAGCGTCTAACGACTGTGCCACCGACGCACAGTTATATTTAACCAGAATAATGTTTTAAGCAATCAGTGTGAAATATTTAACACGTAACTAATTGCCTATGGCTCAACAAATGAGCAGAAGAAATTGGGTCGGATGGGTCGGAAATAATCCGTAGCAAACGTGAAGTGACATCACAAACCAGCGTGTCTCGTAGAACGCTGTTGGAAAACGGAAAGTTTGATGTCCGACGGTGACAAGAGGGAAATAAAAGCCTATGGTCACTTATGATGAGGTACAGTACAAAATGAAAGATTTAAAACATCTTAAGGGTATCCTTAATGATTAGTAAGAAAATGACTGAATGCAAATACCAACTTATGTCATGGAAATTCAATCAGATTTGGTGGAATGTCCATGGATATTACGGTTGTAATAAATAAGTAAAAGTCCAATTTTGCACATAAAATTCCAGGTTTCACTCTTCAAATAGACATAGCTTCAATAATTCAAAAAAGTCGGAAAAAGCTTTATCTGTTAAGTATTTTAAAAGATTCTGACATTTCGACTACGTATCTTGTACCATCTAGGTGCACTTAAGCATTTAAGCATAGCTAAATCGTTAAGAAAAAGACTCGTGGATTTTGAGTGCAATAATTTGTAAAGATAATCATCTCTCTATTCTTTTTACTTCCGTATTACTTCATGAATATGTGAATTCACGAATATAGTTAAAGTTAACAAGAGTTATATATTGGACTGTTCAACTGAACAGATTGGTTTACAGTGTACGAACCATTAGTAGGCTGGATTCTTTTTAGACGGTATGTGTTTTACTCAATCGGCAATTCTTTCGCTGATTTCACTAAATTTGGATCTTCATTTAAGGAATAATGGTTTCTTTTTGACTCCACATTCCTCCTGCCACGCTTATTGTACCTCTTTAGGAATTGTTTTAGATGTCTATTGTTCCTCAAACATTCATTAGTGAGATCAATTTCGTTTTCTGATGTTTCTCTGATGCAAAGCTTTGCTGATATCTGGTATATTGTCCCTACTAAGTGGTAATGCGGTTGTCTAGTGATGTAGGTGTAGAAATATTTTTCAGTCAAAAGGTCAGATTTCAAGAGCGTAAATGTTGTAATCTCCTACTTCTGTTATGTTTTTTGATTCACGGAACTATGGTAACCATTTACACAACATGCAGAAGTTGTTAAAGGAAACTGGAGATTCCATAAGACTAACGTGAATCCAGATGTTCTCAGGAAGAACTGAATTTAAGAGGCAACTTCTTCAAATCACGGAATATACACATTTGATCATAGGGAATAATAAAAAGACGGTTGCAGCGAAAAAAATTTTCTTTTCGACAAAGTCATCAACTATTCTGGTATATTTGTGTATATATATATCAAATGGATGGGGAAGTTCCAGAATAATTTTCGGTCAAGGGTCAGATTAATAAAATTACAATTAGAAATTAAAATGTCATAATGAACAGGGGGGACGGATACAACTCAAACAATTAGGGAGTAGAAATATAGAAATAACAAAATAGGCAGGAAGGTTGGATAAAAAATTTAGTGGGATCATAATTAATGTGACAAATAATTGTTTTTGCAATCAGGGATTAAATATGTGGAAATAATAATATGAAAAAAATAGACAGGAAGTTGGGATATGAAAATATGGTAGTGTAAAGAGGGATTAAGAAAAACTTAAAAACAACACGAATAAACAGAAAGTTTGGATAAGAAAGGAAATGAGATAGTCAATAATAAAAGAATTACCTGTTTATGATGGCAATGGCAGTGACAAGGGTCAGACGTATTTCTTTTGGATGCATAGCGTGGGTTTGAGTGTTTGGATGGCTAGTGCCTAGGCTAAGCCCAGATGTTTTTATTTCACTCCCTCTGATAGGTTTGATCGAATCTTGTATATTATTTTGAAGGATTTTTCGAATGGCACTGAATGTCCTGCGTTGACCAGAAGTTCTGTCACTGAACTATATATCCATTTTCATTCTCCCTTTGCTAGCTAGGCTGGTTAGTGTCCACGAGCGCGTTTTTCAAGTTGGCTCATAGTATGATCGATGTACTCAGCTCCACATGAGCAAGTAAACTAGTATATGCACAACTTTGTATTGTGTCTGATTAGCTCGAAGTACGAAACTGAATCGAATTTCCTAAAGGCCAGTGTCTAATCCACTATAAACAAAATCATTCCAAGTGACATGTTTTTCACAAATGTACAGACAAACTGTGAAATGACTGACTTTTGTGAGTGGGTAAAATGTAGACTTTTATGATCTTTAGGATTTTAGAGAATTTCTCTCTGTTGAGCATTCAAAATAATGAAAATCAAGTAATGATTAGTGAGACTAATTTCCCATAAGATTACAGCTGTTACTTGGTAGTTGAATGAACAATTCCTTAGCGTCTTAGATGACAATCCTTAGTTCTACTCCTTTCGGGTACGATTTCAAGCCTCAGGAAGCAGAAGCATCCAGCTGATAGAGGCAAGATAAATCTTGGCCATTTAAAAAAATTTAAACACCGCTTGAATTTACTTTTAAAACATTCCTCAGTTGGTTATCAATGCATAACAAGGTTAAGATGTAATCTCTGCGGATGTAATTTCGCCCAACTTCAATAATTTTGCACAGCCCGAAATCAGCCGATAGTGTTAACAAGTCAGGTTAAAGTGAAATAGTCACTGGACCACCGTTTCGCTCGTTTTGGGCGGAGCCTATCAGTGGTGCAATGTGTCTAAGTGAACTTAGGAAGCCGCATCAGTTTAAGCCATCCGATTTGTGGCTTTGTCCTAAACCAAATCAATTAGAAAATCATTGATAATTAGGACTCATTAGAGCGATATTACTGAAGGCACTCTAACAATTTACTCCTCCAGTCTTATAAAGAATCGAATTCAAAAGTTTTAGGTTACGCGGCAGATGAGGATTTAAGACGAAATCTGCTTCGAATTCAATTCAGCTTGAAGAAATCAGTAAACTAGAAAATACGGCTTCAAATTTGTATTGTCCATGAACCTTACTGGTATTTCATCGGGTTCCAGGTGGAGCATAACGCTTCAGAAGCACACCCACACACATCGTCCTGTTCTCTGTAGCTCTCGTTAGCTGACCTCACGATTGCCCATAAGCTGTCATCTTGTCCTCGCCCTCACATGATCGTCCCCATAACACCTATACTCAACTGGAGGTTTCTCATTCGGTTACTACTCGTGAGTTTGCTTGGCTCATGATGTCACCCAACAGTCTTCTCAGTGTACGTCCAATACACCTTCATTTTCCATTGAATATTTATTGAGCAATAGGTCACAGAGTGTACGTGTAATGCAGATTTCAAACAACTATTTGGTCGATATTAGTATAAAACTTGGGCACTGTGGTAGAGTATAACTCCATTATGGATAAGATTTTATTTTGATAGATCACACAGTGTTGTACAGTTATATTAACTGTACAACACTGTGTGATCTATCAAAATAAAATCTTATCCATAACTATTTGGTTGGCCTTCGTGTCATTTATCTTCTTTATGATTTTCAAATTTGTCACCCAAAATATAAGAAAACTAAACAGTTGAAGTTTTATCGATGAAAATAATTTTTCTCACTGTAAAAATGTAACACTATATGAAAAACAATAAAAATACTAATTAACAAATTGTGTCTCAGTCTCATCTCAGTACATTTTATTTACTCCTTTACCTTCCGATTGCAATTTAAGGTTTCGAGCATTACGCTTTGACGTTTCAGTAGCAGTGGTTTTTTTACTTTTGCCAGTCTTGATTACAAGCTATTTTATTTGTTTATCAGCTAAGCAAGCTTTTAGGAGTGTATCGGTCGTGGGTCTGACCTCAAACTACATAGATAGCTGGAGGGCATTCAACCCTTGAAACGCCAGCCTGAATCTCAATACTTTAACCAATTTGCAATCAATTCAATAATCGCCATTATCTGTTTTTTTTCTCTTTTTCCTGAATTCTGTATAGGCAAATAACCCATAGCCAACTTACACTGTTAGTTCAAAGAAGATTTCAAGGCTGGCAGTTGGATTGTGGTGTCAGTAACTCAGAGGATTTTATGCCGGCGAAACTGCCAACTATAACATCAATTCTTGAACCAATGTGTAAGATACGTATTTTGTTGTTGTTGTTGAAAAAAGTCTTCAAAATATAAATATATTATTCATATAAACTGTGATCGAAGTATGGTCGAATACTTCCAAAATAGAATTTGTTCAAATATATGAGTCATGAAACAGGCATTACCATGTATATTAAAAACAAAACTGTATGCCGATGATTCCTAAAACAAGGCTGATGAAACAGAGCTGTCCAGTACTCCAGTGCTGGTTTATCAATGGTTCTCTAACTTCTGATATCAGTACCTGGTCAAATTCGTAAAACATCAAATTTAATCTTTACAAACCACCTCCTCATAACTTTTCGAGTCAGATGTGATCAAAATTTGACCTCATACTATCGTTAAACTCTTTAAACAGAGTAAACTTTGAATTGAATGATGGTGGATGGTGAATAGCAGTAGAATCCAAGATGCGCATACCGTAAATGTTACAAAAAATATTATTTAGATTTTCTTAAACTCGCTAGGATTAATTTAGATATTTTATAAAGAGTGTACTTTTCATCACAATTTTAGTGATTACGTTCGACTAAAGTTCATGTTTGTAGATAACTCAGAATGAAAATATATGTGTATATGTGATATCAAATGGTATGTGAGCATGTGTGAATGTGATACCAGTTGTAAATTATTTGTTAGCTTCTCAGTACGAAGATACAGACAATCAGAATTTTGGATCAAGTATGATTGATTCGTGATGCATATCCATTTTTTATTTATCAATCAAAACTTGCCGTGCATCAACTAACATCACACCTTCACCACTCTTCAAACATTTAGGATTCACCCATATATGTAGGACTTCAGCAGTCAGTCTTTCTTTATACGAATCGAAACCTTTCTCTAGGACCCTTGCCGTATCAAAGACCGTATTGTGTCCCGTTTCCATCGAGTGCAGTGCAATTTCACCAATTTGTTTTCTAGCTTCTTTGAGTCTTCAAAGTTCTTTGGTCTTTAGACCATTAGAAACTGTTTATGCTCTTTCACTCTTATATTCACCTGTTGGAAAGTTTCTCTCATATATTTGACGTGACACTCCTTCACAATTGATCTGGTACACACAATTTTGTTGCTTGCCTTCTTCTATTTTATTATCCTTAACCTTCACCAGTGATGAGCGGAAGGTGTTAATTAAATGAAAATAAACCCTCATGTCATGACTGTGAAGGGTTCGCTTTATCTCATCCGATGTTTGTTTGTGGTAAGGAATCACCGCCGTACTTACTCAATTCTTGGCCAACGGGTTTCGATCCATCCTTATATTCACTTTGTAAATATCATTAATTTATTGAGGCTTTCGCGATAATTGTTTGTTTGATTCAAGAGTGAACTGAACCAATTTTAGTTCCCTGTTGATCTCTTCCTCCTCAGTAGCCTATATGTTTGCCTCTGTGAATTCGATTCTTGGCCAAAGCTACTTTGATGGTAAAGGCGGATATGCTGAAATGAAGTCTAAGTATCCGTTCAAATTCGTCTGCTTTCCGAAAATGTTTATTTTAATTTGACCATCTAGTTTTATTTTTTACTAAACAGTTCAGGAACGCCATATTATTTTTTTCGTCAGACTCGATGTCTTTGAAATGCTGAATAGTTCCTGACATGTTGTTTGCTAAATGAAAAGGTTCACTCAACATGCTGATTACTTTTAAAAGAAGCGATGTTCTTTTCATATATATAAGCCTTTATTATTTTATTTTTTATTTAATTGGTGGATGGCGACTGGTAGTGGAAGCAAGGATGCGCACCTCGTCCTGTTTTTGAGTTTTGTCTGCATTTTTCAGTGAATGATGATGTTCCCACCGAGACTCGAACCCAGTGCCCATAGTTTCAAACGTCAAAGCTTTGTCCACTGGACCACTTGAACTACGAGAGCCACCTCTTGTGCAACAGGTCATAATTATTTGAATTGGATTTTTGATTTTTCCGTGGATTGATTGGACCGAAGTGTTCGGTCTCAGGTTGACATGTCGGCTTCTTGTGCAGATGCTTCGACGACGCCTTGGCATTTAATTAGTATTTATTTGGTGTATGGTGACTAGCAGTGGAATCCAGGATGCGCAGTTCGTCCTATTTGGGACTCTGTTATTTAAGTGTGCGTCGGTGGCACAGTGGTTAGGACTCTCTCCGACCATGCACATGGTCCGGGGTTCGGGCCCACGCCGACGCACACTTGATATCTATGGTCGGCCTGCGAAATTCGGGCTACCGATATCCATGCTGAAAATTCCATACTTGTACCAAAATTACGGTGTGGAATCAAGCTGTAATCAAAAATAAAAAAAAGTTTTCATTCATTTTCCCTGAAGAAGTTCGGACCGGTTTACCGAACACAGGAAACGTTGGAATTACTCATTTCAATTTCGCTGAGATTTGACAAATGTCAATAAACATATTACTTATATATTTTTTTAATGTGATCGATAATAATGCACAGATTAAATCGCTAGTCCTTTCACATATATATTGTCATCTAAGCATTAAAACAGGAGGGGTAGTTCAAAGAAGAAGTAGTTCTTCCTAGAGATTTCAATTTCGTTGGCCGTGCAGACACATTATTGCACGGAATATCCATGAAAAAGAGGATAGAAATGAAAGAGGTTAATTCTCATAAATAAAATAGTCATTACTAATTAATTCATCAAGGAAGTTGTAGAAGGTTCCTAGAGTTACGAATAGCTTGACGCTCAAGAATGAAAAAATTTAACTTTCTGAATGAAGTCTTTATTCAGGCTGCATGTCCACGAAGATATCAAAAACCGAGAAATTCAAGGATATATGAGATAAGCGACCTCACATCAACATTTTTCATTGGGTGACCGAACTTGTAGTATCAATACAGAGCAGGATCCCAGTATCTTTGAGAAGAATGTGTATTCAACCTAGGCACAGTTAGCATGATGTTCTCCAGTCACTCACTTGTTTGTAGGATTCAATAGAAGATAATTCACTGCATCTGACCGTTCAGATGACCGTTCTGAAAGTCTCCTACCTAAGTGATAGAAAAGGAGCAGCAGCTTCATAAGGAGTGCAATAACTGAACACAACTAGCCACCACTTGTCAATTTGTCTTAACCAGTTCCACCTCTAAAGAGATCTCAAAGTCAAGAGTCACCTGGCTGAGTCTATAGGCTTTGCTTCCTTTGTTTTGTGGGAAGTCTTGGTAACCAGATAAAGAAACTTAATAACAATAATAATAATAATAATCCACTTTATTCCAAAACAGACAGTACTTATAATACAGAATGGAATTCTCAGCATTTGTCCCAATATTGCATCTGATTCACTCAAAATATAAATAAAATTAAAAATTAAAACAAAGGTAACCAGAGGAATTTGTCCACGCTTACGATATAAAGTCAAAAATATTCTAAACACGAATTGAGATCATTAAATATTAATAATAATAATAATAACAGTGGGTTTGTTTCATATAGTATAGTTGATTCAGTTTGGCCTTGAAATTTTGGCGTGTTATCGACTATTGAATCGTATGTTCTGTTGATATAGCAGTATGGTGAGGAGAAATACAGAATTAACAGTTATAACAGAGCTTAAATTATGTTCACACCTATGAAAAATTAAAATAAGTAAAAACAAAAAATGAGAGGATTATAAATATAAGAAATACAATAGCAATAACGTTTAATGTTGTAAGAATGGAGGAAATGATTTATTTAGTAGTGCAAAGAAGGTTGGTCAGTTAGTTCATGCCTGACACTATTTTCATCACATAAGGTACGTGCCAAATATGGTATAGTGGAATTGTTATACTAAGATGTGCTTGCATAAAGTCTTCTGAAAAGACTTATGTCTTACCTGAGGATACACTAGGTTGCAGCTGCGGGTAGAGTGGGTGCTCAGAGGGTAACAAAAATTCCTTTAGCAAATTTGTTACATGCCATCAAGTGCCTATCAATGACACTGTCAGCGATACTGCCCAATGGGATACCACTCGCCCTACTGACTGACAGTCTCCAGACTTCTACGAAGTACGACATAGTCTTTTTTAAACAATTCCGGAAAGAATAAGGGTGAATATTAAAGAAGCATGGGTTGACAAACTGTAAGAGGAGGGGTTGGGTTATGGCTGGGTGCCTTAACTTCCTAATGTAAAAAGTCATACGAAATATTCTTTTAGAAATCGGTAAGATGTGTAGGAAGACCAAGATAGGTCAGAAGAAAGATCTCTTTACACAAAAGAAGTTACTTTGAAGACCTTTACTATAACGGTAATAGACGTGTTGTTCTTTCAAATAAAATTTTTGTCACTTTTTTCTAAGTCTTCTATTCTTTCGCGCTCCTGTATAATATTATCACACTTCCTTTGTTTCTGTGTTCATGTTGATTATAACTCATTCAAAAAAAAATAATTAATTTCATTGCGTAACTCTCTCTCTCTCACCCTTATTCAACTTCCCTTATACATATATTGATTAATATTGACAAATATATGTATATATATATAGTCATGAAGGTACATTGATTTCGCCGCTGTTCCCTATTTTTAATGAAAAAGCTGTAATCTAAGGCGTTTGTACAACTAAAGAAAATGAAATCGCTGAGTAGAAAATCACACCGGTGAAACACATTTGTCTGTTTTTTTGAACTGCTACACAATTCCATATTTTCCCTTGTTTCTACTTAAATCCTGAATACAACTCATTAATTCAGTTTTTAAATCTTAATACGTAATAACCATGTTTGTGGCAGCTCATCACTTAGGTTACTAACCTAAGTCATGGACAAAATATGCATGCATAAATGCGTGCGGGTGTATATTGCATTATTATCAATCATTAAATAGGTATATAAGTAATATATTTATATAGACATTTGTAAAATCTCAATGAAATTGAAATGAGTAATTCTAACATTTCCTGCGTTCAGTAAACTGTTCCGAACTTCTTCGGGAAAATTCATGGAAATTGAAATAAGAGAAATTTATATATATATATATAAAGAAGACATCGCTTCTTCTACAAAAAATCAGCATGTTGAGGGAACCTTTTCATTTAGCAAACAACATGTCAGAAACTATTAAGTTTTTCAAAGATATTGTATCCGACGAGAAAAAGATTTGGCGTTCCCGGAATGTTTAGTAAAACAAAAACATTTTCAGAAAGCAGACACACTCGGACAGATACCTAGACTACTTCTTAGCATATTCGGCTTTACCACCAAAGTAACTGTGGTCAAGAATCGAATTAAGAGAGAAAAACGTCTAGGCTACTGAGGAGGAAGAGATTAACAGGGAACTAAAATTGGTTCAGTTCACTCTTGAATCAAACAAACAATTATCGCGAAAGCCTCAATAAATTAATGATATTTACAAAGTGAATCTAAGGATGGATCGAAACCTGTTGGCCAAGAATTGAGTTAGTACGGCGTGGATTCTTTACCACAAAGAAACATTGGATGAGATAAAGCGAACCCTTCACAATCATGACATGAGGATTTATTTTCGTACAACTAACAGACTAGGCTCCCCGTCACTGGTGAAGGTTAAGGATAAAATAGAAGAAGATAGTCAACAGAACAGCGTGTACCAGATCAATTGTGGGCACTGTGACGCCGTATCTGTAATAGAAACTTTCAAACAGGTGAATATAAGAGTTAAAGAGCATAAAATGTGTCTAAAGAAGCTGGAAAACAAATTGGCGAAATTGCACTAGACTCGATGGAAACGGGCCACAATACGGTCTTTGATACGACAAGGGTCCTACAGAAAGGTTTCGATTCGTATAAAGAAGGACTGACTGCTGAAGCCCTACATATAATGGTGAATCTTAAAAGTTTGAAGAGACGTGAATGTGTGATGTTAGTTGATGCATGGCAAGTTTTGATTGATAAATAAAAAATGGATATGTATCACGAATCAATCATACTTGATTCTAAATGCTGATTGTCTGTATCTTCGTACTGAGAAGGTAACAAATAAGAAATTGAAAACTGAATTTTTCGAAATGAGTTACTTTGCAGAGCTCCTATTCTTGTTTTTCTTAATGTTCGAATGAGAATTCATCATGAATGCTTTTTTTTCACAGGGTATTATTGAAAAAGACTTCTTGGACTGATTTCAGGTTTTAGTCTGAACACAACTTACTCTTCTCTGACCTAATCCTATGTTAGACAATATTGCTTATCGTGGAAGACCACCGCTCAGCATGTATGACGCATGTACTAAACACCTCAATCGACATAGATTAACAACTCCACCAGTAGGCTTACCTTTCTGCTTACGTAACACTCTACATCTAACCTGCATATTAATCATCAAATTATACCACTTAAGATGGGAAATACAACCGAAAGACAGATAGCCTTTTCATATTTTCAACTTTCAGTGGCCATATATCAGAACCATGGAAAAGACTAAACGGAACTACTTCGTGCTATACACGTACTTTGATCAATAGGTGGACTTCAACCACACGTTTTCATTGCGTTCGGCTCTCTGTCTACGTTTTCACCTGTCTCCACATCTGCCGCCCACATACTTTCGTCTCCTGATCGCATCACCTGCTTCTCCATGTCACCCTCCCACTGATGACCGACTCGCCGCTTTCCATTCGGGTTCCAATCGGGCAGTGGCCTGGCGTGTGATGTCACTGGATGGTTTTCTTAGAGTAGGGAGAATCCACCTCTATTTCTTCATACATATTTTTTTGCACAAATAAATTCTGCTTAGTTGGTTCGCTCATTGCCAGAGATCCCCCTGTTGCCGATTTTTTCTAGCCGGCCATCTAATCTTGAGTAGTACTGAGCGGAGACAGCTGTTTTTTGAAGCGCCCTACGTGACGCGCTGCCAAGTCTTTGATCCATAAAGTAAGTAGCGCTAACTTCACATCGGAGTTAAAAGTTTGGATTTTATTTTTCATGCTGAGTGCTGCTGATCTCCACACAGACTTTAACGTAATGAAAGCTTGCTTTGCTTTCGCGATCCTCGCTTTGAAGACCTCATCAGTTCCCTCCGCCTGTTGTTGGAACGATGCTTCCCAGGTAGGTAGGTAAAGGAGGTCGCTTCTTTCAGATTCCTACCATCTATGCTGATTGTTGTCTGTTGTTGTTTCTGTTGGTCAGGAATCTTCAGCCACCTTGTTACTTTTCACTTGCATATCTTCCATTTTGTGCGAAGTCAAACATATATATCATCGGCGGAGTGCAGATCCTCATAGTTATTTTATGTGAGATCATTTTATACCTGTTTCCTCGCTGCCCGCCACTGTCTGTCTGTCGCATTCATTATCCAGCCTACCGCCCGCAATCAGGAAATCCATTGGAGACAGTAGCAGCCAGCCAGCCAGCCTTGTCTTACTCCCGGTCTTCACTTCTTCGAAGGATTCCGTGAGTTCCCCGTTGTGAATCACTTGACATCCACGACAACTTGTAGAAGCAATTTCAACATAAGGCAGCTTCATATAAATAATTTTTAATATAAATTTATATATTCTTCTTGTTTGAAAACTAAACAATCCTCATTCGTGTTACAGTCAGACTAAACACAATTCTTTGTTTAAAAAATATAAAAATTCACTATACGCTTAAAAAAATACATAAACAGTTCATAAAAATCTTAAGAAACCAGGAACAACAGTCGTTCTTTATTCATGTCTCCCCCCGCACCTCAACCTCTTCTACTTTTAACTTTGTTTCTATCATCTACTTTCTTTTTGCCTTTAGATATTGAAAGTGTAAAAATACATATCATAAATCATTCAGAGTATGAAAATTTTCATGAAGGTCAATCTGTCAATTTTGAATGTTTAACTAAGACGAACCCGAAATCACCACTTTATAGGTAAGAAGAGTTTATGAAGTAAAAAGCGTAGTGATAAATGTATGATAAGTTATTTTATAGAGAGAAAATCTTCTTTTTTGTTCCTCTTTTGTTTTTCAAAACATTTGAAGTGTAATCACATTTGGAGTGTGTTGTCTGACTGGGGATTATCTGAGAAAAAGGAGTTAGTGTATTGCATGGAATCGACTACATACGGCATGAATACAAACTTTTCAGATGTAGGGGAGTGGGTAATTGCACAACACTATTTTTTGGGTTACAAAATTTCATCATGAGCTGACAGTGAATAAAGAACCCTTGGACAGATGTTTCGTACTGGTTTGGAACTCTTCAGCAGTACGTACCCAGCGGCGTCAAACCCAGGACCTTTTGGTTATAAGGCTAGCTATCTCGTAGACCAATAAGCCACTGGGACCCGATCCAACGGCCAGACCATGAATTCTAACTTCTACCAATGCACGACATAACGTGACCCCGAGCCAATGTCTTCGGCGAGTAATTGTCCTCACACCCTACCTGCTGCACCCTACTGGTCACGACTTTTCATAAAATTGAAATCTTAAAGCATCAAATACAGATTCAGGGATAATCATGTTATTGGGTGGGGAATTGTAGGCAAAAACTTAAATATATAGCTTAAACAGTGAGTACTATTCACGGCGATTTTCGCATCAAAACAGGCAGTTAAAACATCAGTCAATAAAACTGATCCTGTGGAGTAAACTTACACACAACACATGCACGTACGTGCGTACGCCTAATGTAATTTTCTTGAGGATAAAGTAATAACTTTCCTTCATGTTTCCCCGCATTGTTTTGTGTTCCAAGTGGGACAGAGTACTGCAAACTTGAGCCTTGAAGTTTCAACAGGGGTGGTTTTTTTATTCATTACGAGTCAGGATCATTATTTGTACACATCCAGTTTTTCTACCTTACTGAGCTTGCTACTGGTTTGCTTAGTGAGGTTAAGAAGTGCATCGGTTGGGAATCGAACCTGAAACGCCTGTAGATAGTTGGCAAGCATTCTACTCCTGAACCATCGAGCCTTTCAATCTCATACGGTAGGAATGAGAAGTAACAACATTGATACTGAGGACGTCAAAGCTAGAAGCCCTACGTTTTACCTGGGACCTAAATGACTGTGAAGGAATATTAACAATTCTAGTCTCAAAGAGTTTATAGGATAATAAGAAAATCAATAATCTCCACCGAGACATAGAAACAAGGAATTCGGTAGAGAAAAATTCTTTTTTAGACGATTTCATTTTCATAGCTGTATAATCGTACATATATATATATATATGTATATATGAAATACAATAGACAATAACGATCAGTTCTCTTGTGTGTGTTTGTGTGCGTTAAAGTTTGACAGTGAGTGGAAATACTAAAAAGCTGTAATAACTCTGAGTCATAGATGATTAGATAAATGAATCATAGTTTGGGATTCATCAGCATTAAGCATCCACTGCCAGGGTTCGAACCAAGGACCTTCCTTATACCATTCAGGTACTGCGATCCGATTCCTCAATGACCAAACCATGAAACCTAACTTTCACCAATTCATGATTTTAGAGCAATTGGCACCAACCAATGTCATCCGCTGAAACTCTGTCTTCACTCCTGACTGCCTGGACGTCACTGGTCATGACTTTTCATTTGAACTGTAGGCGACTTCATCTTGCAGTATATCATTAGAGAACATCAGATTAATTTCCCAGAGTTGGTTTGTAAGGATCTAACCTGAAACAAATAGAATACTTACAAACTAATCCTTGAAGGTATGCATGAAGGCATGAATAACTAGGTAGATAAAGGTCAGAAATTTCATACATTTATTCCACTTAATGAATTTGAACAAAACAAGAACTGCAATTTTAGCCGAATAAATTGGTACCATCATCTTTTATTTCGTTGCCTTCTCGTCAGCTGCTTACAGGCCAAACACATTATTAAATATATCTACAAAAACAACAATTTTAACATACTTGAACAGAATTCATTTTAAACAAAAATCAATTGATCAGTATATGGACACAGTAATAATATATACAAATATATATGTAATATTAAACACTATTTCGAACAGTAATAATCATACACAATGGGAACTTTTCAGCATTTCGCATCCCGATGAAAGAGAGATGAAAGTGTTCAGTTACCAGGGCAAAGAAAGACTGATAACAGTTTCTTTCTAAACGCAAAGATCAGGTTTCAGGCGATTAATGAAAATGGTTTTGGCGAACTTCAAGAGAACTGAGCTCTTTTGCCTATAGATAATTTTGAACGACTTTTCGACGTCCACTTCATGGCTCGTGTCAAGGAGATGCCTAACGATATCACTGTTTAAAGCATTTGTTCCATTTAGACGTAAGCTTTTGGTACATGTTCAGAAAATCGTAGATATGCCTTTCTTTCTGTCCTTCCGATGCATTCAGACGTTATTCAGAAGTCCAATGCCGTTTAGGCATTTGATACTTCCATAATATTTTTGACTGGACACTGGTCAGTAAGTAACGAGTGTAATATGTGTATCCAGTCCTTTCTCTGCTGTAGACTGAATTCTATCGATCACGTTTGCAGTGTCACCACTGAGCAAAGTGTCTCGCCAACACGATACATTGTAAGTTGTTGGTATTCGAGAATCGCCACTGTGTATGATCAGTACTGTTCGAAATAGTGTTTAATATTACATGTGTATTTGTATATATTATTACTGTGTGCATATACTGATCGATTGATTTTTGTTTAAAATGAATTCTGTTCAAGTATGTTAAAATTGTTGTTTTTGTAGATGTATTAAATAATGTGTTTGGCCTGTAAGCAGCTTACGAGAAGGCAACGAAATAAAAGACGTTATCAATTTATTCTGCTAAAACTGTTGTTCTTTCTTTGTTCAAATAGAGGTCACTGTCTAAAGTTCAACAGACAAGTGTGAAATGGATGACCGGAAAATAAAGTACATTCGGCGATGTGAGTATGTAGATATAATACAATGAGAAAATGGATGGATGGATGACTGAAATGTTGTCAAAGTAGTAGACTGGATAAAATATTAGAATATGATAAAACAAAATTGAAGTGGATTAAAACAAAAATGGTACATGGAATAAAGAAGGATAACAAAGTAGTTATGTGAATCCCATAGTAAAATCTAGACTATGGTAACGAAAGGGATCAGAAAAATTGTTTTTGCACACAAAGTTCTGGCTTTATGTTACGCTATTTCGGTGGCATAGCCTGTGCTATGCAACAAAGCAACTATACTCGTGTCCTTTCAGCAAACTTTGTCGGACTTTGTAAACTATATAAAACGATGTGTCAGATGCTGTATCTTGGTCAGTATCTACAATATGTTGCAATACTGATGAATTAATTGATACCACGACGTTCTTCTTTCCTCAGTCGAATTGAGAGGTGCTCTAGAATATGGAGGCGGGATATGTTTCTCGACCAAAGTCCTACGTACCTAGCTTCGCAAGAGCAGGTGAACATATGAAATATACATGGAATTAGGCAATCGAGGTAACATTTCCCTGACATTCACGTGCAGCAGTGGACGGCTAGAGTAGATTATTCGTGAAGTGACAGCAAAAGACGTTTTACTCAATAATCTCATGAGACAGTTTTTAAGTATCTCACTTACAGTGTCACCTCTAAATTATAAGTTAAGGTGCGACGTATTTTTAGCAACCTTATCAAATATTATAGTTCTTTCACGTCATTTGCTATAGACTTCTACGAAGCGTAGTGGATACGTGTTTTCTCTATGAAGGTTCCTTCCAGTAGTTTGAGTTCATCATCAAATTCTTGGGACGCGTGTTGATAGCGAACGAATTGGATTCTTTTTCATGTCTTCAGGGGGCAGAACTGTAGAAAGTGGTCAATTGTCCTATCCACGTCGATTTTCTCTAGACAGATCTATTCAAAGACCTGTCAGCTCTTTTTGTGAATAGGACATCGAGGAATGATATTTTTCCTTCAGTTTCTTTTTTTGAGGTGAACCGGATAACAGGATTTAAAAAGAATAAGTGGTATCGTATTTCATATTTCAATCACTACAAATTATGTATTGCGAGTCGTTTCTATTCTTTTTTTCCTTCACGTTCCCCAGTGGAACATAGGGCTTCAAACTAGTGGCTTGAAGTTTCTGTAGCTGTGTTTATTCTACAGGATGAGGTTGCTAGCCTCACGCCCAACCTTTCCTTTTTACGGGCATTATTTCTGGCTTAGAAAGGTAAAGGAATGCGTCGGCCGGGAATCGAACCCCGGCAGGTGCTTGGTCGGTGAGTGTCCTAACCGCTGTGCCACGGAAACACCGTTTCAATTCTACCTCACAGGAATTCCCTCAGTATTGTATCCACTGCAATCTACAAAAGACATTTTGTTGTTCATTCAAACAAGTCAGTCAAAACTGATGTCTGCTTCTGTATTACCAGCCAAACTTTGGAATTCAGCTGAATCATCAACTGGATTAGAAGTTATATGGTATGGTTTTATTTATTCATGACAGCATGAATTTTCCTTTAAAAACAATTTAACAGAACAAGAATACGGAGTAAAGAATAGGGGTAACTCTTGTGATATCATACCGATTATTATTATTATTTAAAATGAGAAACTGGACAGCATTTGTCTGTTGTCCTAATTAAGAAGACAGTGATTCCATGACTAGAAAGTTTTTTCTCCTTTGAAGCTTGACATTCCAGTGGCTTACTACGATGCAGTCCTGGCATAGGAGGAAGACACTTCAAATTAAACTGAATGTTTTGCCAACATTATCTGGGTGAGATAAAACACGAAAAGGAGTTGCCTATTCACGCAGTTTGATGCTGGAGTCCAAATATACGTTATTTAGAAGGCCAATGCCATTTAGGCATTCAGTGGTTCCATAATAATTTTGATTGGACACTAGCCAGTAACTATAGTGTAATATGTGTGTGTCCAGTCCTTTCTTTGCTGTAGACTGAATTCTATCGGTCACGTTTGCAGTGTGGCCG